CAGGCTAGTTGTGGCTCCAGGATTTCTATAAATGGTTGGCACAATCAAAGTCAGACAGGCTGGATGAAGGATTTAAAACAGTTTTGAAGCTGTTTTACATAAGTTTGCTTAAACACCTGTTATTTATATCAAAGAATAGGGGAAAGAAAAGACCCCCCACCCCAACAAGCTACTCCCTTGGCGCTACTGACTCAAACTAAGGAAAGATCAACAAACAAGGCTTCTAGAAAGCACTATGAGGGGTCTAATCCATATCTGACTATAAATGCTTATCAGAGGCAGGATGATAGAGTGGAAAGTGCTCTGGGTTCAAATCCTAGCTTTACAACTTACCAGGCTAAATGACCCTGGACTAATGGCTTAAATCCTGGGAGATCTAGCTTGTTCTGCAATTTTTTGTATTTGATATAAATGATATAGCTGCACCCTTCTGCCCTGCTTTACTTCTCCTTTAACATTATAATTATGAAATTCATGCCTGAGAATCTGTGGAACCCTAGTGCATTCATTTTCCTGTTATGTCATATTCTATTACATGGAAGTATCACAATATTTTTATCCATTTTTCAATTGATGGATCTTAGATTGTTTCCAAATTTTCATTCTTACATACACTACTGCCATAAATATTCTTATGTTTATATGCAAAAGATCATCTAGGGTATATTCCAAGGAATGAATTTCTGGATTTGGGGCCATTGCTGAGGTATGTGCAATTTGAATTTATTAGATATTGACAAGTTGTCCTCTAGAGTGGTTTTATCAATTGAAATTTTCACCAGCTTTGTCAGAGAGATGCTTCACTTCCTTTCTAGCAATCAAGCATTCATTCAACAAATATTTTTTAGTGACCTACTAATCTGTTCTAGGTACTAGGATATAGCAGTGAAATCTGTTCTCCTGAAGCTTCATTTTCTTGGCAGGAGATATGATAATAAATAAAGAAATGAATATATAATAGGTCTGGAGGTGATGAATGCCTTGTTTCCAGGGCCTTTGGGTGCCAAGGACTTGTTCTTCTCCTTGCGCTCTTCTTTGCCCACAGTAAGTGAATACAGTGCTCTCTTGAGCCCAATGTGACCGAATTCCAGACACTGATTTTTTAAAACTTGCAATTACCATAAAAATTAGATGATGAATATTTTACATTGATGTAATGTTTTACAATTTAATTAGTGCTTTGGAATCCATGGTCTCAATTGACCACAACACTAGGCAAAATGTAAGGAATTGGTTAAATGCTCCTATCTCTGTGGTCAAGCTGCCTGAGAACAAATCCTGGCTTCCTGACTTACTAACCACGTGATCTTGAACAAGTTACTTAACCTCTGTAAGTTTCAATTTCTGTATCAGATAATAAAGTCTGATTCACAAGGATGCTCATCAGAGAGCTCAGTAATTTTTATCACCTTGTTTACTAGGATTAATTAATAATTGGATGGACCCATCATGTGATATGATTCCCATTTTATAGATGAGGAAACTGAGGTCCAAAGTGGCTGAACAAATTGCCCAGGCAGTAAGTTCTGGTGCCTCTTGAACCCAGGTCCTCTGGCACAGAACCAGCTCTCCACTAGAACATTACATATATGAATCTATCGTGTATTCACTCAATAATCATTTATTGAGCATCTAAAATTGCCAGTCACTGCTTTGTGCTAGGAAATCCCCAATATCGGAATATTTCCAATATGGCTGATCATCTTTGGGCAGGCCTAGAATTATAGCTATCTTGAGGTCAGTTCCAGTACTGACTATGAATTGAATTTTGAAGATTTTACTAAAGCTTTTATGGAGGGTAGAGATGACACACCAAAGCATAATCATTATTTATATCACATTTGACTGTAAACATCTTGAAGGCAAAGATCATATTTTACCTATCAATGTACAAGTAGAACTTAGCACAGTGTCTGGCACATACTCATTGAATATTTGATGAATTAACGACATGCCATACAACAAAATTTAATCTGTCTTCCTCATCAGCTTTTCATATGCCCCCATAATGTGTTCCCCAGCAGCTGCTTCAAAATTGTTGATGAAATAGAGTTGAATTTAACTGTGAAGAATTCTACCTCTTGTGAACTTGATGGGATTCTCCCAGGAATTCCTGGCTTCCAGAAAACAAGTAGTTTTCACCTGAAGCCAAATAGAGTGTTGTTTGGGTTACAAAAAATATGGAAGTCAAAATATTGAGTCAATATTTTGAGCCCCAATAGTTCAATAAACAATAACAACAAAATGTATTCATGGAAAGATTAAGAAATGATCTAAGACAGTACATACTGAGTACGCAATGAAGAGAACTGGCAATAAACACTATTGGATTTCAGAACAATAAGAAGGGGAACAGGAGGGTGGTCAGGTACCAACCTGACTGAAGAGAATCTATTCTAGGTTTCTTTATTGACTAATTGTGAGGTATTGTGAGTTGGTTTTATCATTTTAGCTCAGAGAATTTCCTCTGTGTGGTGGCCTATCAACAGCCTAAGGCTTTGGAGCCATCTTCGTGGGCTTAGGATCTGATGGATCCCAGAAACAGTCCACTTGCAGTTTCTGTTTAGAATAAGGAGGTGCCACCCAGGGTCCAAGGCTCAGGTTTCCCCATTCCTGACTCCCCTAGCACTCAGCTTTGGGGACTAACCTCCAGCTGAGAAGAGGAACAGACCTTAGTCTTTACCTGTCCGTCCTGATACCTCACTCTCTGGTTGAAGAAAAAGGTATCCACCTTAAGTAACTCTTCTTTGACATCTGTCACAATTCCTACTCCTTTTATCTTGTAATCTCACTCTCTGCCCCTATTCCCAAAATAGACATAAATGCCTCCTGGAATTTGAGAATGCCTCATTTTCAAGATTACTACCTTACTTCTGATCTAATCCAACATATGGGAGGGAGAATATTTCCTTAGATTTAATCATCATCATCATCTTCTTTTTCTTTAAGTGAATAAATATTCCTTTAGTGTATCACTGTGGAACTAGGAAAATAGGATATTTTGGTAAGAAAAATCAAGGTTTGTGCCTGACAGTTGACTTAGCACAAGGACAATATGTTAAACTCTTCAAAGCTAAAGGAAAATGAAATGAGTAAGTGTACCTCTTAGAGGGACATCATGGTATGTTTCATTTTCTACCAGGCCGAGTTATAAGACACCCACTAGTGTCTTGGCTCTGGCCATCCAAATGCATTTATTTATTTCTGTGACAATATGAGCTTGGCAGAACATTGAGAACTGGTGGCTGAGAAAAGACTACAGTCTTCCTGATCACAGAAGACATTCTAAGACATCCTTGCTAACACAGCTTTGCTGAAAGGGCTTGTGTATGAATCAGCCATAAATGTTAAGTGGGCTGATGAGGGTTGCAGAACTCATGAGAATTTCTGATGAAGCAGCACCAAGAGTGCCTATCAGTTATTGTACGAGTGCGGTGTAGTCTATAATTTGATTTGTTTGGGTCTTTTTGTTATTACATGTTATGCTTCACTGAAGCTTGTTGCAAGCTTTCTTTTTCCTTTGCTATCAGAGTTCCCCTGATTCATGAATGAGAACTGAGGCTCTGTGGCAAGAATGTTAAATATTCCTTCAAACTACTCAAACAGAAAGGGTTAAGAGACGGTTTTGTTTTATTAGCATCTGATTCCAGGAGTATGATTCCAGTTTTCCTAATTCCCTAATAGATGCATTTTGGCACTCACCACAGTCTAGTTGGATCCCCTCTGAAGTATGTAGGAACCAGATCAAAAGCAGCATTGCAAAGACTAGATGAGTATGCAGATGGTCAAGTAAAACATGTCATCAGGCTTCCAGAATCTTCCCCCTTCCTAGGCCCAGTACTGTATGGAGTGGACAGATTTAGCAGAGAAATGCATAGGCCCCTGTATTTTATCTGACAATCCTATTAAGGCCTTTAGTAGCTCTATTTTAGTCCTCAGCCGTTGGAGCCTTTTTTGGGAGAAAAAAAGTCTGAGGTTAGTTATCGAAATTTGGAGCAATATTTCTCAGGGTCTGGTCTCTGATAAACTGCATTAGAATAATCTGAGCAACCTGTGAAAAAAACAGACTCCTGAATCTTATCCTAGACTCACAGAATCAGACATTTCAGGTATGGGCCTGGGGATATGCATTTTAAAAACTTCTTATATAAGTCTGAGACACACCAAAGCATAACAATTATTTAATAACTTCAGTGTTTTTCCTCTCCCAGCAGTACAGACTTAAAGCCTTTTACTCCTTATGGAAAGGAGATAATAAAAGTACAGTATCTGACATTGATGAGGACCTTAATAAATATTAATCCCTAATCCATTCTTGTTATTTTTTGGGGGGTGGGGTGGGGAACTAGGTTTATTTATTTTTTGAGGAGGTACTGGGAATTGAACCCCAGGACCTCAAAGCATGCCAAGCATATGCTCTATCACTTAAGCTATACCCTCCCCCTCCTTAATCCCTTCTTAAAGGAACTTTGGACTTCAGGAACAAGATGAGATAGATACCCAAGACCCTTTCCCAGTCTCCTGAAGAACAGAAAAGTCAGAGGCTGCCTCTGATCTCCTTCATATAGCTAAGCCCTTATCCATTTACACGTGACTCTGTACAGGCTGCAACTCCAGGCTGGCATCAGGAGAGCCTCTGGGCCATGACTTCAGCAGAAATTTGTTCAGAGCTGTTTGTGTGGACAAACAGAATGGATCTTCAGTCATTACGCAGAGAAACCTGCAATTATTTACCCCTTCTTTAAGCTACTTCTATACTTCTTTCCCCTCTGGATCAGAGTTAACTTAAAAACCAAAATTTCTTGGGGAAGGTATAGCTCAGTGGTAGAGCCGTACTTAGCATGCATGAGGTCCTATGTTCAGTCCCCAGTACCTCCATATAAACAAACAAACAAACCAACCTAATTACCTCACCCTCTTAAAAAAAAGAAAAAAAAAACACCAAAAATTCCACCTCTTCCTCTCCTCACTGTTCTAATTGTAATCTCTGTATTTTCCAGCATTTTATCTGAAAGTCAGCCACCAATATTAATGGAGAGCTCATTGCACGTTGAAAACCTCGGCCAGAGAATGGAATAGAATCCTGCAGATTCAGGATTTGGGTTTAGAAAGACTACAGGCCCCAACATGCAATTTCACCTTCCAAAGACTATCACTCCCAACAAGCAGTGCATCCAGGGTTAGCAAAGGAAAAGAACTGGCTGGATACTGCCAACCCCGCGGCAAAGTGCCTTCGTGCTATCCTCAGGCAAAGGAATGATTAGAAAGTGCCCCGGAGGATTTTTTTTGCGGGAGTGGTCACTCCCGAAATTCAGGCAAGGAAGAGGAGGAGTCTGAGCCGCGTCCCGCCCTTCTCCAGTAAACTTGTCGCTCCAGGTTTGGCGCTGGGAGTTCGAAGGCCCAGGAGCAGCGGCACAGCTCGAGCTTTCGCCATGGTTTCGGTGACCAGAGCCGTGTTTGGGGAACTGCCCTTGGGGGCAGGGACGGTGGAGAAGTTCCAGCTGCAGTCAGACCAGCTAAGAGTGGACATCATGTCCTGGGGCTGCACCATCACGGCCCTGGAGGTAAAAGACAGGCAGGGCAGAGCCTCAGACGTGGTGCTCGGCTTTGCCGAGTTGGAAGGTGGGTTGAATTCAGTCCCGGGCTACGGACGGACCCCAGGCCCACCGCGCACACTGCCCCACACTGGCTGCTCGCTATGCAGGGTGCAGGGACCGAGGGGAAGTACCGAGTTTGTGACCGTCAGGCTTGCTTGGATCCGGGCTAACTCACTATGTTGGGATCCAGTGTTTGGAAAAAGGCAAAATGCATGGAAACAGCTGGAGGGCTTGGACTCTGGGTTATACATTCAGGCTTTGCCTTAATTAAAAAATCAGTTGAGGGTAAGATAAAACTCCAGCAACCCTGGAGCGATCTTTGATCTGCCAGATCTCTGTGAGGGAGGGAGAGAGAGAAAAGTGCACCCTAGAGGAGGTGTGGCTCCCAGCTCTTCCCTCTTGCCCTTTCTGATGAATGAAAAAAAAATCAAAGACAGCATCTTCTACTTCCTTTCTCCTTGATCAGATTCTCTGGGTTTTGGTTGTCTCACAAATGCTCCATAAGGTAAGCTCAGAGGGTGCAGACAGCTTATGTGCTTTGGCCTGTAGGGTACGGTGCCCAGCACCCCCTGGCTGATCAACAACCACGTGTAGGTTTATTTTATTTATTTGTTTATTTTATCAGAGTTACTGGGGATTGAACCCAGGACCTCGTGCATGCTAAGCACACACTCTACCACTGAGCTGCACCCTTCCCCAACAACCACGTGTTGAAAGGACATGGAAGAACAACTTATTGTCTAGAAACAAGTCTCCTTATAACTTGGGTGGACTTTTATTGTTTGGGAATCAGCAATTAAGAACATTAATATTCAGGGGGATGGGTATAGCTCAGCGGTAGAGCACATGCTTAGCACGCATGAGGTCCTGGGTTCAATTCTTAGTGGCTACATTAATATTCATTAATTTAAAGACTGTTGATTCGGTTATTTCATTCAGTGAGACGGACAAAGTTCTCACCCTCATGGAACTTGCAGTTTAGATTGGAGATAGACCTTAGCCAAATTATTGCATAAATAAATAATTAAAATTGCAGTTTGGTTGGGACAAGGGAAAATGTACACATTGCTTGCTTCCTCGTGGCACACCCAAGTAGCCAGACAGAAAATGAGGTCTGAGATAAAGTTGGCAAAGGACAACTGCTTGAGAATTCATTCTCTCTGTCTGTGTGATTCTTTAGATATGTAACATGGCTCAAGGTTAGAGGTCAATAGAAAACTGAGAGTATTGGTTTTCCCTTAGGATACTTAAACTGGCCCATTTCCTTGACAAAATGTATTATAAAAAATATTCCTAAAGATCCTATTCTTTGACCCTCTGGTTGTCTTTGACTGCTTTGGAGCCTTCACAGCTTGGCTTGGAGAAAGAGTAGGTAACCTTCAGCAGAATTTCTTTGGTAATTTCAGTGAGTCTCACTGGTAGGAGGGTGCAGGGTCTGGGGAAAACCTTCCCCACTTCACCTTGTTATCCACGTCCCATTCAGCTTCTGGGAGTGGGTGATTATATCTTCTGTCTTCAGAGTCAGAAGGCAAGAGAGTTGACAACTGATGAAAGAGAATTCTTTAGAATTATTTTTTGCTGAATCACCTCTCTCTGTTAGCATAACCATTTGCTAGACTGAAGCAGAATCACAGAGATTACTTGACTGGTGCAAAATTGCCTGATGGAATCCAAGGAGAATGGAATCCTAGAATTTCGGAGCCAGTAAAGCATTGGAGCTGATAAGCTATGAGCAACTGCTTTTATCACCTCATTTCCATCTTTGCCTTATCACCATTCAGGAGGGGACTACCCTCACCCTACATACACATATGTACACACGCTTGTGCACACACTGGCTTCTTACTTTTTTTAGTTCTGATGTGAGAGTCACGTGGATCTTAAAGCACAAGGCACCTTTGTGGAATTCACATGAAACGTGTGCCAGGATGACATGGCACCTGGAAAGCACCAGTTTCTTACCAGGCACAGAAATGCCAGTTTTGTCAGGGCATTAATATAATTGTCACTGTGTATCCCTGAGTCTTGCGGGAGTCTAGGTGAAAGAAAGTATTATCCCCAGATGGAGAAAAAATAAATCCCCTCAGATTACAATGATCTAGCTTGTATTAACTGTGCTGCCCTCCTTGTTATTAACATCTCTTGAGAAAGTTAAATAGCATTTTTTTTTTACCAGGATACATCACAGGCGTCACAAAATGCCAGGCGGAATCAAAGCGTCTAAAATATTCTAGGTGCTAGATCAAGACAGACATTTTCAATCCAATGTTAAAATTTACATAGTTTAATTATTTAAAGAGGGCAAGCTATTTTCAAAAGAAAAAAGCCTTCAGAATATCTAATAAGGCTTTCTAATATGTTCAGCCATCTTTGAGTTGCAAGTGGACCTTTGTTCTGTTTTTAAAGCCCTGTCTTTATGTTTTTGTCATATTTAGTACATTTTGTAGTATTTCAGTTTTTTAGTATTGTCAAAGATATGGAAGACTTCATATATGTCGTAACAGGCAGCATAATTGTCTCAATCAGAATAGTGTAAAATGGTGGTCTGCTACTATTTTGATCAATCCTAGTGTGTTGAAACCCATGTTAAGAAATTGGTGACAGAGATGTCTTTAAGAAGGGTAGCTAGCAGGGAGGATATAGCTCAGTGGTGGAGTGTGCGCTTAGCATGCACGAGGTCTTGGGTTGGATCCTCAGTAACTCCATTAAAATAAAAAAATAAATGAACTTAACTACCTCCTTCAGGAACAAAAAAGAAGGAAAGAAGGAAGGAAGGAAGGAAGGAAAAGAAAGAGAAAGAAGAAGAGAAAAGAAAAGAAAGGTAGCTGGGGTACAGGAATAGAAAGGAGATTTAATTTTCACTCTAGTCTTTTAGAATGTCTGGGTAGGTAAGTATTGTACAAACTGAGGCAAACAGTTTAAAGCAATAAGATGTGACAGAGTAAGTGGTTGTCTTCACATTATCATGTCCCAGAAATGTTTTGAGCCACAGGGAAGAGAGAAGCATGAATAATTCCATGAGACATGGTCCTTTTGTAATTGTCAGGTTAGATGTGAACTATCTCCAATTTCCCAGATAGATTATATAAACTGCTTGGACGATGGCCATGACCAGAGGTCAGAATGGTTCAATTCCTCCCTAGGAAAATGAGATCTTCTGTAGAATTCTAAAAAGGCAAATCTTACGACCTTTTAGTAAAGGCTAGAAAATCAGTAGTGCCTCCTGAGGTTTTTTGTTTGTTTGTTTTTTCTTTTTTCCTTGCCATTTTTTGTGTTGAAAATATCTTTAAATGTTTTTCATCTGCATGTTCCACCTGCAGTCATTATGACTTCTTTCAAAACCAGTGATGAGAATATTTGCTTATAAGCTACAGGTGTAAATAACCTACTCATACATGCAATGTGATTCCTTCCCCTTTATCTTTCCCCCAGTTAACACCAACACCCAGCTATTACTGCCATGAGAACCATCATGGAAAGATTAGAAAAAATAAACTTAGTGTTTTGGAAAAACCTGAGTTTATAAAAGGGAATGGGAAGAAGAGAGACCGGTTTAGAGACTGTGGTTTTTTACAGATGGCCATATTACAGATGGCCAAGAGTGTCCTTATAGGAGCATTGAGGATTCCTAGTTTAAATCTCTGCTTTGTCCCTTAAAACTATGACCTTGGGCAAGTTATTTCACCTCTCTAGACCTATTTTGTCTGAAACAAATGGATAATGATGATCAGATGTGCTATTGGCTGTGATTGTGTCTGACTATAGTGAACAATTAATAATTTTAATCTCCTTTCCTTCTTTTGCCCCCAAATATCTTCCCTCACACTCTGAACTTTTTATTTCACTTTGTTAACAATACACAAAATGCATGGAGATTCGTCTGGGACAACCATCAGCCATTTAAAAATATATAAAATATTTGGGATGCTTAAAGCATTTGTCAAAGTAGTGTTTGTTTTCCTCAAAAAAGCAAAAAGCAAGTCATTCAGGATGTGGATGTTTTGACTGAGAATCATGAGAAATTTTATTTGAGACTTTCAGGCGCTCTGGCTAATGGCTAAGGCTTGGGGTGGGTGTCATAACTGGAATCTTTGGGATATTAGAGGAGTGGAAAGGGCCATACCCCTTGTCAAGCACTTATTGATATATTCTGGGCAGTCCCTTGCCTAGAGAAAGGACAAAATTTTCTTCTAACCATTATCCCACATCAGCAATTGAATTGATTAAATCAACATTCATGCCGTAGAAACTGCCCGTTCTCATGGAAAACAGTATTTTCTACTTTTCAAAACAAGCTTTTTAGTCCTATTCAGAATTTGGAGACTGTCACTTTTCTTAATTCTGATTTGATTTAAAAGCTTAGTAATATATGAAAATAGTGTAAAGTCCATTTGTTCTGAAGACTTTCTCAGAGACAGTTGGGAGCAGTGGTTTTTGCTGTCCTTATGGTTTAATCCTTAAAAACTTCATCTTAATTAACCAAGGTCTGACAAGTGCTTCTTACCTCTGTGAGCTTATTAATTGTCAACAGAAAGTGGTCCCTTCTGAGGGAATTCTTGCAAGCCCGTGAGGCCGTAGCCTTGCTTTTGGATTTGTCCTCTTCTCTGATGCCAAGCACGTGGGGGGCAGAGAGTAGGGGCTTTGTCAAGGTAGGAGTCAAAAAGAGCTATAGCCAAATAACTTTTGGAAAAAGTTCTGCTTTTACATTTTTGAGCTGAAAAGCAAATGAAATTTGTTCCACATTATATGTCATAAGGGAAATGCAAATTAAAACAACATTGAGATCTATTAGAATGGCCAAAATCCAGAACACTGATACACAAATGCTGACAAGGATGTGGAGCAACAGGAACTCTCATCGCTGGTGGTTACAGCTACTTTGGGAGACCATAGTTTGGCATTTTCTTAGACAACTAAACGTATATTCATATAATCTAGCAATCATATTTCTTGGTATTTACTCAAAGGAGTTAAAAACATATGTCCACACAAAAACATGCACATGGGTGTTTATAGTAGCTTTTTTCATAATCGCCAAAACTTGGTAGCAACCAAAACGTCCTTCAGTAGGTGAATGGATAAATAAACTGTGGTACATCCAGACAATGGAATATTATTCAATGCTAAAAAGAAATGAGCTATCAAGCCACAAAAAGATATGGAAGAAACTTAAATGCCTATTACTAAGTGAAAGAAGCCCATCTTTTCTGAAAAGACTGTATTCTGTGTAATTCCAACTCTGTGACATTCTGAAAAAGGCAAATCTATGGAGAGAGTGAAAAAATCAGTGGTTTCCAGGGGCTAGAGGGATGGGAGGGATGAATAGGCAGAGGACAAAAGATTTTTAGGACAGTGTAAATACTCTGTATGATATTACAATGATAGATGTATGTCATTATACGTTTGTCCAAACCCATAGAATGTTCAACACCAAGAGTGAACCCTAGTGTGAACTATGGACTTTGGGAGATAATGATGTGTCAATGTAGGTTCATCAATTATAATGAATGTACCACTTTGTTGGGAAAGTTTTTAATAGGGGAGGCTATGCATGTGTGAGGGTAGAGAGTATATGGGAAATCTCTGTACCTTCTGCCAGTTTTGTTTGAACCTAAAACTACTCTAAAAAATTAAGTCTCTTAAGAACTAAAACAAGAGCAGATGAAGCAAAACCAAGAAAAGTGTTTGGCACTTGGGGACTTTTGTTACTCGATGCCCAACAACAGTTTACACTCATCAGTATACCATGTAGCTGACAAAAGGAATATGGTAGATGGATATGTAGACACAGGGAGGGATCTTAGGACATTTGATAAATGAAAAGTTGCAAAACAATGTGTATAATCTGAGTCTCTATGTAGAACATGTATGTGTGTATTTGTTTGTGCTTATATGTAGTTAATTTAAAAACAAAAATAAGCAGTTAGAACTGTATATATCTCAGACTGTTAGTGGTGGTTATCATTGGGAGGGAAAGGAGTTAAGAGTTGAAGGAAGGTTTTCATGTGTTTCTCTTTGTTAAGGTTGCCAGATTTAGCAAATAAAAATATAGGACACCCAATGAAATTTGAGTTTTAGGTAAATGATTATGTTTTAAGTGTATGGCCCATGTATAATAATAATAAGGACATACTTATACTAAAAAATTATTCACTGTTTATCTGAAATTCAGACTTAACTGGACATCCTAGATTTCCTCTGGTAAGCCTAAGCTATATACTTGTGTATTTAATGCTCTTTAAAGGGTATTTTTATGTACTAATGTTTTTAAAAAATAATAAGAGAAGTATAAGATAGTTTCTTCTCAAGAGTACACAAAAATATAATTTTTAGTTAGAAAAATTGGCCTAGAAAGAAGCAGATTACAAGGCAGCATGTGTATAAAGTCCCCAGTTGTATAAAAACAAGAAAAGCACACGTAGACATATACTTAAAGACGGAAAGATATATTTACAGTGTGTAACAGTGGTTCGTTCTCTCTAGTGATGAGATCGGGATGATTTAAATTTCTTCTCTGTGCTTTAGAAAGTTCTTTTTAAATGTTTATAAAGAACATGAATTACTTTTAGAAAGGGAAAAATTCATGTGTAAAGAACATGATTTTTCCATGAGGACGTGAATGTGCCCAAGTTGCCGTCAGAAGGAAGTGGACAGTGGTGTGAGCCTTATCTTTGGTTTGAAGTTTTAAAAGACTCTGTCATCCCATGTCCTTGCAGGGTACTTCCAAAAGCAGCCCTACTTTGGAGCAGTGGTTGGAAGGGTGGCCAACCGAATTGCCAAAGGAACATTCATGTTGGATGGGAAGGAGTATAAACTGGCCATTAACAACGGGCCCAACAGCCTGCATGGAGGTGTCAGAGGGTTTGACAAGGTGAGTCTGGAGCATTGGACAGAGTCCTCTCTTAGCACATTTCACTAAGTACCTTCCAACAAATCTGTTTTCCAGGCACAACTGTAGGCCCTAGAGCAAATGCACAGTAAGGTGATACAGGAAAGAGGAGTGGTTGGGGAGCAGATGTGCTGGCTCTGTTCCAGGACCCATCCTTCTCTAGCTCATCTGACTGTAATAGGCTGGGGAACCCAGAGTGAAAGGTTGACAGCCCTCGACTTGAAAGACAGGGAACACGTTTCTCACAGATTTGGGATCAGAGAGTTGGGTGGACCTTAGGCACAACAGAAAAGTGGATTAAAAATACCTTCGACTTTCTGCACAATGCATCTGCATATATTATCTCCCATTCTTACTAGAACCCTGTATTATCACCAAAGGAGAAATCTGAAGCTCTGAAAGGCCACATAGCGCCTAAGTTGGGCTGCCTGACCCAAGGCAGCCCTCATTCCTATACTACAGTTGCTGTTGTCCTCCATGGTTGCTCTGGGTGCCGCCAATCCAACACACCCCCTGTATCTGCCGGTGAGCCTCTTCCCTGGGCCGTGTGGTGCCACATCCAGGCCTGCCTTCCACGGAAGTGCCTCAGGCCTCAAAATGACCTCAGTTTCTCCCCAGTTCCCCCTTTCCACGTTAAAACTCCATTCCCCACGTGAATCCCTGAAAAACCAGGTTAGGAAAACAAATTGATCAAACAGCTTCTCCCTGAGGTACAAATGCCTGACCTCCTACTTGAAGCTGTGTGGGAGTCTGCAGGTTAACCCTAGTGACTCTCTCACTTGTCAGCTTCAGAAAGGTAATTTTGGTAGTTAGTTTTCTTTAAATTATACCACTCAGGCTGTTTCCTAGAAGAGCCAGAGAAGAGAGAAACATGTATGACAGCTAAGAATCACAGTTTCTTCTTTTCTGCCTCTTCCTGCCTCCTGCCCCGTTGAAGGAAGTTGATCACTCTCTGTTCCCCTGTCCTACCAGCTTCCTGTTTGTGGCTTGGAGCCAGACGGCTCCATCACTTCCCCTTTCCTCCATGTGGGGCTCCTCCCACCAGGGAAGCACGAAGGCAGAGAGTAGCCTCTATCCTGGTAATACTAGGGCACAGGGTCTCTGGGATGTGCCAGGCCCATGGGCAGACCTCAACCACAGGAAGTTAGGCCCAGCTTTGTTTGGACAGGGATCTTCAAAAGAGCCTCAGGACAGCACCTTGTTCTGGTTTGTTCCACTGTGGTATTTTCTGTGGTGTCGCTTAATGGATGTGCCCTTATGAACAAACGTAGCAAGAGAATGAGTACATCTATCTTTTAATGCACTGTGCCTGCTGAGCCCCTTGTGTAGACCAGAGAGCATAAACAGATGAGGATTCCGGAGACTCCAACATAGTGAGGGAGCCGGACACTTACACAAGTAATGGTTACAGGCAACAAGCCTGTGATACAGATGCCAGTGGTATGCTATAGGAACCGGGTCTGGACAGATTGATAGCAACAAGCGAGGTGAGATTTGACAAGAGTCAGCATTTCATTTAATAAATGGATACTGGAGAGAATGGCTGTGCAACAGCCCACAGAGGGGCGGGGAAAGAATTGGAACTAATCATGGAGCCACTGAAAGTTTTTGAACAGTAGGTTTTCATGAAGTAATGTGCACAGTATCACATGAACTTTGTTTTAAGTTGTATTTGAGCTCAACAATTACTGAATAATTATTGGTTTGGAGGTGTGTGTTTTTCTATTTATACCAACACATTCTTTTAAAAGATGAAATTTAAGTAACCTGACAGGATTAGAAATGGTGTCTGTAGGACTAGATATGCAAATTTGGAAATTTTCAGAAAATTTGGAAACTATAGAGTCAAAGAAATTCTTCCATGAATAGGAATTATACTTTCCACAGAATTATACTTATCTGATAATACTGGTTTACACAAATACCTTTCCATTGTGTCCTTTCTCTAAGGGAGAAAAACTCGGTAGCAAGTTAAGAACATTTTATTTCAAATATTTTATTCCTAAAATTTTCTATTTAGGGGATTCCTTTTCTTTTTTTATTTCCTTTTTTTATGGTTTAAACAACTGAAATTTATTTTCTCTGTTCTGGAGGCTAAAAGTCTGAAATTTAAGGTTATGGGCAGGGTTGGTTCTTTTTTTTTTAATTGAAGTGTAGTTGATTTACAATGTTGTGTTTGTTTCTGGTGTACAGCAAAGTGATTCACTTATCATATATATACTTTTTCATATCCTTTTCCATTACAGTTTATTACAAAGTATTGAATTAAGTTCTCCACGCTATATAGTAGGATCCTTTTTTTAATACTCTCCCCTCTCCTATTCTTTTCTTAATCACACCATATAACAGGGTTTATATTTTAAGTGTCTTGAAAGTTCAACATTTCTGGAGATAATTAGGGTGTAAAATTAATTTTTCACTAAAGTCAGTGAATTTGTTTCAAATACAGCTGCTTTCACTGTAGGTGATTGCAGAGACCTCTGCTCCCACTGAGCTCCCCTTCCTGGCAAATGCAGTGCCCATAAGAGATCCAGGCCATGCCAGGAGTAGGTGGGCAGAGCCTGGGCTTGTGGTCCGGTCCTCTGGTCCACAGAAGCTATTATCTTCGAACTCTTATTTGGAAGGACAGTGTTTGGCCTCAGCTCTGCTATTTGAAACTGAAGATAGGAACAAAACATTCACTTAAAGTAACGTGGAATAGTGTAGACTGTCAGGCTAAGTTTGAATCCTAGCTCTGTCACTAATTATGTGTAATAAGATTTTTTTTCCCTTTAATCAAGTATGAAAAGATTCTCCATCCTTTGGAATGTGGGAGGTGGAAGTGGGCGAGTTAACTCCATTGAACTCAATTTGCTCATCTGTAAAATGGGGGTAACATCATTAGCTGGCGTCATGTGAAATTGCCAGTGTTCAACTGTTTTGACATATAAAGATGGTAATTTCATTTGGTTCAACCAAATTCTTACCTTACAAAGTGGTTTATGTAGAGTACCAGGTCAGTGGCTGATGAGTACCCAACAAAAGGAGGTCTTGTGTCTGCAAAAGGCCCCTTTACTAGTGACCCCAGGGCTCCCCAAAGGGTCTGGCGGGGGTCTTTGGCTACCTCATCCTCTAATGGTGTGGAATAAAGGAGCAGGCTCAGGATCAGACCACTTGATTCAAATCCACTGTCTTATTAGCTGTGTGTAGCTATTGTAGATAATATACATGTAAATTTAGGGAGAACGAGTATGGGAAATGTGATTAGGTAAAGAAGAAAACTTTTTCTCTCAAAAGACATTTTTCCAGGTAAAACAAAATTTTAGAATAATTAAAATCTAGGCTATTTATCATTCAGCCACCTTAGTGATTATATAACCACCTCTCTTCCTAGAATAAATTGTCTTTATATATTTTAAAGAATTTTTATTGAGGTACAATTGACAATATCATGTAAGTCTGTTTGTTTTTTTAATATTCACTAGTTTGTTTTATTTTTTAGATTCTGAGTTGCCTTTAAATATTGAAATGTGTCATTTAGCTTGGGATTGGAGTGACTAAACAGCTTTAAAAACACTTTCTTCCAGGTCCTCTGGACCCCTCGGGTGCTGTCAAATGGCGTGGAGTTCTCGCGGGTCAGCCCAGATGGAGAAGAAGGTTACCCCGGAGAGTTAAAAGTCTGGGTGACATACACGCTGGATGGCGGGGAGCTCGTGGTCAACTATCGAGCACAAGCCAGTCAGACTACACCAGTCAATCTGACCAACCATTCTTACTTCAACCTGGCAGGCCAGGTAAGTGAACTTGCTTCTGCTTACCTGCTGCAGTGTTAAGTGTCAAACTTGCCTCTTCTCTCCTGCGATGTGCTTTGTGGGATGACCTGGGGGAGTGACTGGAGAGACTAACCCAGGATGGAATTACTCTGGCGATGGAGTCATCCCCATGGTGAGTAAAAGTGCCCAGCAAAGCATCTAGCTCATAATAGGTGCTCAACAAACGGATGTTGTAGGGAAAGATAGAATGAGTACATCGTGCTGCCCCACATTCTCAGACAAATAACTAGCTGTGTCAAGAACTCCCTTTCATCTAACTGTAACATGTGCTTACATTTGCTTCTCCTGTTCCACGCCTACCCCAGCCCCCTAGGATGATTACTTCCAATTAAGGCACTTTCCCACCCTTGGATCCTCAGAAATGTGCTTAGCCTGGCCCCTTTAGATATGCCGCCATATTTTGTATGCTCCCACTGTACAGCCCACCCTAAGAGTAGTGGAGAGACACTGACAGCCCCCCTTAGGTAATTCCTTCTAAACTACTTCATTCCCTCCTAATGGTAATATTTTAGCTTGCTGAGGAGGCTATTACATGAGATGGAATAGAGAGCTTGGCTAAGCTCTGTAGATTCTATCTATCTTCCTTTTCATCTGAGGAACTCATTATTGTCCACCATACTTGAATCCCTTTGACATGATTTCCTACCACAAGATATTCATAGCCAACTAGTATTGCCTTGTATTTGTATACCTTTTTAGGAGTTTGCTGTTAATCTGCTGGGGTTTTTTTCCCTAGGATTTTTTCAAATAGCATGAGTTAACTGGTTCTTACATAATTTCTGAGGTCCTTCCTTTGGAAATAAGAAAGATGGTTCTTCATTTGCTTGTTCCTTCTCTTCAGGAACATCCACCCTTTTTCTTGAGATCTTAAAGACAAATCAAAAAACAAAAGCAAAACAAACATGCATAGCCATAAGAGGCTCTGCAATCATTGGCATGAAGACCCCACTTTTTAAAATAACTTCAGAAAGAAACTTGGCAGAAACAGAACAAAATATTAATAGTTTTGTGTGGGTAGTAGATCATGGTGATTTTTCACTAGTTTCCACATTTTTGTATGCTTAAGACATATTATTTTATAACCAGAGGGGTGGTCTCAAGGAATATATTCAGAATTAGAAAGAGAACTTAGGCGTGAAGTTCTACAGGGACTTACTTAGAGTAACAGGTATTTCTAAATTTCTTTTCAGAGGTTAAAGTTTCCAGAATCACAGACCCCACCCAGAAGGTGGTCAGGGTCAGCTCTCTTCTGTGTGCTGTCTTAGTAAGTGCAGCTCAAATCTACAGCCACTAGGTCAGGGATGAGGCTAGGTGGGGGCCACCAGCCTTTTGGAACACTTAGGTAAGGGTTGATGGGCAGTAATCCCACCTGGGTCTTCCTGTATTTTCAGAACATCTCTTGCCCTACCTGGAAAAACATTATGTGTCTTAAACCGTCCTCAGGGAAATAGTTCAAAATTTAATATTTAAAATAGTCAGCTCATCTTATATATTTTCTTTTTGTTTGGTTTTTTTTTTTATTTAATAAGCAGTATTTTTGTCCTACTCAGGGTCAAACTTTGACTCATCACATCTAAGTTTGAGTGTTGGAGGCCTGGGGGGAGGAGAGCACTATGTTTTTCAAAGAATGGAAAAGGTATGTAGGTTGTAGGTTGGTTGGGGGTTTTCTTGACTGTTCTTTCTTATCTAATGCAAAACTGGGAGAACTTTTTTTTTTTTTTTTTTACTGAAACTTTGCCTAAAGAGCTATGAAAGCAGACCAGGGGCAACGTGAGATAAAAAGCAATAGCTACAGTCCTGGTATGACTGGGTAGGTATGTCCTCAAGGACCCAAGTTCTTTCATCATTCCATTCTGCTTCTTCAGTATTATGGTTTTTGTCTTCAGGCTTTTCCCCTCATGGTCACAAGATGGTTGCCACAGCTCTAGAAATCACCTCTTCATATAGTCACATCCAGAGACAAAAAGAAAGACCAATTCCTTTTTTTCACAGCTCTAATGTTCCATTTTTAAGAATGAATAAAACTCTTCCTGGAAGCTCCTCAGCAGGCCTTCTGTCACATTTTCTTGGCCAGAAGTATGTCTTATGCCCTGCTTAACTCAGTGACCAGCAAAGGAATTAGACCACCATGATTGGCATAGACAAATCAAAACTTGCCCTCTGGGATCAGGGTAGGGGTCCTTTCCCTGAATGTATGGCCTAGGACAGGATAAATCAACAAGTCAGTGTTCTGCCAAGGGAAAGGGAAAGTGCTGCTAATGGAATTGTGATGGCTTTTGGGCAGTTACCAATAGTGTCTATTATATCCTGGTAGGAGTTGAATTAAGGCAGCAGTAATGGCAATGCACAAAAAGGTCCTTAAAGCACCATGCAAGGCACAATAAGCTCTATAAATGGTTAATATTACAGACTGGTAGCAGCCAAACAAAGTCAACCAAAGCAAACAGAATTCAGAGATGTGCCTCAAATTCTGTTTGTGAATCAACATTCCTTGCCAAGGAAAATAGTCTAACAGTAGTATTCTGCCAGAGTAGATCATTGCATTATTCCAGGTCAGGAGAGTCATAAAATGAAAAGCATGCTTCCTTTACTGAAGGAATGTTACTGCTGCTTAGTGACCCAACGATGACCAGTGGGTGCCTAGTCGTGTTCCTTTCCTTCTCCTCCCAGTCTTCTTCCTAACATCTCAGACTCAATTTATTTGGTGTGTGATTTTCATGTTGAATCATTTTCTTCCTGCCCTAGCGCTAAAAAAAAAATGGAAAAAAGACATTCCTAAGAAGCTTTATTCATAATATTAAAAAAAAACAACTCGAAATAACACATCAACAGGAGAATGGGTAAACAAATTGTAATATATTCATACAATGGAATACTACTCAACTTTGAACTGAGCATTAAATGGATAAAGCCAAAGAAACAATCCCAAATTCTCTTCCCTCACATCTGCTCCCCTTGCTGGCAGTAGCCCTGAGGCATGAGGGGATGACAGTAGGGAGAGCCACACAGGAGAGAGACCCCCCCAACCCCAGGCTAGAACTGCTCTAGGCAGGGGTACAGGCCCCTTCCACTTTGAACCTGCTTTCCCAGGTCAGATCAGGGACCAAACAAGTGGCTAAGACAGTGTGAGCAGAGAGGCCTGTGCCCCAGCCTTGTCTCCCACCCCCTCCTACCCCTGGCCAGCTGGGACAATACAAGAGACTCACAGCTCTTCAGAAACAGAGGCTCCTGGTAGTGTAAATCAGCCAGATTTCTGTCATGTGTAGACGTCGATTCTTATGGTGTCTAACATCTTGGCCTTTCTCCTCAGGGTGACTCCATTTGATTTTGTGAAGCTGAGTCTTTCTGACCGTAGAATTTGTTTTAAGTTAACCGAGAATGCTCTGCCTCTCTCTGTGTACTTCCTTCTTAGGAACCCACAGAGCCTTCAGTTTAGCCTAGTTCAGAGTTTCTCAGCCTCGGCACTATTGACATTGTGGGCCAGGTGGTTACTTACTGCAGAGGTCGGGAGGCTGTCCTGGGCATGGTAGTGTGTTTAGTAGAATCCCTGGCCTCTCCCCACAACTGCTTCCTCAGCAGCATTCCCACCCCCAGTCATGACAAGCAAAAATGTCTCGAGATGCCGTCAAATTTGCCCAGTGGGGCAGAATCATCCCCAGTTGAGAACTACTGATTTACCTTGTTTTTGAGCATTCACTCAGTAAAAGCCCTCACCTGATTCCCTTTTCACATCTCCTGCTGGGAATCTTTAAAAATCCTCCTATTAAAATATGGTCCTTCTTATTAGAAACATTTGCACATGTGTATTTTCCAGTTTGCAAGCAGCATAGCACGTCTGTTCTGAGCTGTTCCCTGCAAGAACCCTGGGAAAAATGGGGACATCGTCAGCTCGGTTTTACACAGAAGAAAAAGAGATTCTAGGAGGTTCAGTGACTTCGCTGGGGCCAGTCATTGGGGTCTGGGACCAAGCCTTTCTGACCACTGACCAGTGCTTCGTGTACCACCAGCCTCTGACTCTCCCAGCAGGGCAGGCTGCATCTTTATGGAGGAGATAGGACCCCAGTTCTGACTCCCAGGCTTCTGCCATGTGGCAGGGAGTGGGTCCACTGGGTGGGAACTAGGCCAGAGAAGGGGTGACATGGTCACCCCTAGCAAGCCCGGTGGCTGTGCTCTGGCGGTCCAGCTCCTGTGTGTTACAGGTCCCCAACCCTTGGTCTTCTGTTTGCCTGGCTTGTGAGGAGAGTAGAAGAAACCCCTCTGCTAATAAGCCCAAATCCGAAAGGCTTTCAAACCACTGTTGTCTGTCTGATGTTTCACCTTCATAATTGCGTTCAGAAAAGAAAATGCATGCTGGGGTCCCACTTGAAAGCTTTCTTTAAATGTATCACTGCTATTTTGAGACCCTATCTACCTAATGTAAATTAACATACTAATCATTTTCATAGGTCAAATGGAATTTCTAAAGGTTTTGTCAATGTTTGAAAATGTTTCTGCAAAAGAAGTTATAAAACAAATATATAAAGTAAGGCTTAGCATTAAATCTTCTTTTCCTTCTCTACTTTTTCCCTCTCAGGGTTCCCCAAATATATATGACCATGAAGTCACTATAGAAGCTGATGCTTTTTTGCCTGTGGATGAAAGCCTGATTCCTACAGGTTGGTGAATTTAAATTTTATGTGGGAATGCAGAGCTATGGTGCAATGTGAGAGAGATTAAAACTTCATTTCCCTAAATATACTTCCCCTGTTGGCCTGACAGTGCCTGTGATTACCATGATTAGTCGTTTATTTTGGTTAAGGCTGGGTGACCATATAATTAAACACCCAAACCAGGACACTTTTGAGAGGGAAAGAGGATGCTGTTAATAATTAAGCCAGGGCAACAGGCATAAACTGAAATACTGCCAAACATTGGGTCAGATGGTCATCCTAGCTGAGCCTGAGAGTCCAGAAGTTATCCATTAAAATCTAAATCTGTTACTCCTTAGCACCTTGGCAGAGATACATTTACCTAAGCATTACCTGACAATTGCAAAACCCTGATAGAACATAACGTGATATTTGACAGAAGTGAAAGGGTGGAATGGGTTGTACCCTGAAGAGGTCAAATGCAAATAGATCACCTCTGAGACACAGTTAGGGGGACGGGGTGGAAGGGGGTGTCCAGTGTATCAAAAAGCGAGGTGAGGTATTGTTAGTCAGGCATCATGGGTGTGTATATGTGTGTGTCCTGGGTTAACTGGATCGAGATCATCCTAGTTATCATTTGAGATCAAAAGCACCTTGGTTCAAATAGGCAGATCTATAGAGATAGAGAGTAGGTTAGTGGGTTGCCCGGGGCTGGGGATAGAGGAGAGTGGGGAATGACAATGGGTACGAGATTTCTTTTGGGGTGATGAAAAGATTCTGGAATTAGACAATGGTGATGGTTGCATACCACTTGTAAATATACTAAACACTGCTGAATTGTACACTTTAAAAGGGTATATGAATTACATCTCAATTTTTGAAAACAAGAAAGAACCTTGGTTCATGTGTTATCTCCAGGGTTCAGTGGTGTAGTTTTGTACTGGATTGCAGGTGCACCCCCATCTGTCTTCAGGGGACAGATGGCTGAATGCAAGGTGATTGGCAGGGGTGTTGTTATTTGTGGCAGTTGACAGAAATTAACTTGAAGTAATTACCCCCAAAGGTGCATATTCTTACTGAGGTTTTGTTAAGATCAGAGATCAGCTGAATATAGAAGGCATAGTCAAAGAAAACTAAAGTAAACCAAAGTAGAGGATGAAGGAAAGGAGGAGCAGAAACCTAGAAAGACACAAATACTTTCTGCGTCAGCTTCCCTTCTCCTGGAGGAAGGGCCGCCCTTGTGCTGCCTGGCTGATCAAGGTCTCCTGCCTGTGTCTGACAGCAACTTGACTTCTTGAATGTGTTACCTCATAGCTCCTTGGTCAGATGTCTTATGTCCTGTGTTCTGGTCTCTCAGGGCTCTGTTCAGGGCTCCGGCTATCTCAGCTACTTGTGAAAGGCCAGGAAGGCCTGTGCCTTCTGTTCCCACCCCATGTGAGGGTGCTACTACTTCAGTTGTGTCTGCTCCAGTAAAGATCTTAGCATGATAGCAATGTGAACAATTAGAAGCCAAGGGCACCATCTTGGTTAATTACTTGATTTACATCACCAGTAATAAGACATACTGACATTATGTCCCTCTCATGTGATGCACTGAAAAAGCACATCATTTGTGTGGTATTCTGTCAAAAATGTATAACCTCAATGCATTCAGAAGAAAATATTACATGAACCGAATTGAGGGACAGTCTACAAAGTAAGTGAGCAGTACTCTTCAGTGATATCAAGATCATAAAAGACAAAGAAAGATTAAAGAACGGGTCACAGAGGAAACTAAGGAGATAACAATAACTAAATGCAACATGGGATCCTAAATTGAATCATGAGGCAGAAAAGGGGCATTAGTGGGAATGCTGGTGAAACCCTAATGAAGTGTGTAGTTTAGTTAATAACATTATAGTATTAAATTTCTTAGTTGTGATCATTGTACCATGGTCATGTAAGATGTTAACATTAGAGGAAAGTGGGTGAAGGGTACACAGAGATATATTATTTTTGCAACATTTCTGTAAGTCTAAAATTATTTCTAATTTTCACAATGGAATAAAAAAGGCTCAGAGCTCCAAGTAAGATATTACTTAAGTTTATTGGGCATCTGCCTTATTTTAGGTAAGGGCTTCTTTTATTTTGGCATCTTTAAAACAATGGGGTTGTGTATATGGCTGCTAGTTCAGAATTTTTAAGGGGAAAAAGAATGTGAGCCTGCATACTGAACAGCAACTTCAGTTAATGGCCGGAATTAGAAACTCCCATAAACAAGGCAACTGTGAAACTAATTAGAATAATAATGAGAAATCAAGATAAATGGATTAAAACATTTTAACTTCACAGTGTTGAATGTTCTCTTGGCTCCCAGGCTTTTATCTGCCTTGGTAACATGTGTTATCCTGTGATTATGATATTGATGAGGCTCAACAGACTGGTGAGAGTCAGCTGGCCCGTCTTGTCCTAGGTGCAGAATTATTGCATTAGGACTATATGTTGTGAACTGCAAGGGAAAAATAGTGGTGGCTACTGTTTTGTAACTGATAAGGAGGAAAAGCAACTAAGTAGCCTATAAGTGGAAGTGATGAAATAAGGGCCTATTTATTTGGGTATATTTATAAACTCTTATGCTGCCCTGTTGAGTTTTGATCAGACAAAAATCACATAATCGCATAATTTATGTCGGGTAAAGATTATTTGTCATAATTGTAAGCGATAATTGTGGCAAAGCACAGTAGAGCTTAACAGTCTAGTGGACTGTATAAAACCCACGTTCATCTCAGTTCTGCACTGGTAAGTGGCTTTAGGATCAAATTCCATACGCTGTACTAATACTGAACACCTGAGAAGCTGAGTGGGCTGTAAGAAGTCTAGACTCTCAGGGAAACAAGAGCCCTGGTTCTAGTCTTCCTTTTGCTGTTAACTAACCTTCAGTGTATGTATAATCCTTTAACATTTAATCTCTAATAGACTCTCATTTTCTTTTCTGCCAATAAGAAGGAAGTTGAGCTCAATTAGAATTCATAAATTTTCATAAATCAGCCCCATATATTTTATTTAAAAAACAGTTTGGGAAACTTATCTGGGGTTGCCCAACCTTTCATTTTGCCAAGTTAGAAAGCTATTACAAATACAGGGCTATTAAAACAAATTGGGAATGTATATACATTATATTTCAATTAAAATTTTTAACCAATTGGGATAATAATGAAGAACAGAGATAAACAGACTACATTTTCTTTAAAAACCCAAACTACCATTCATAGTCACCATTTTTCATAAAAGAAAGAATATTTTAATACCACAAAAGTGGGGAAAATTTAATCTCGGAATAAAAACAACCGTTTAAATTGAATTCATCTTTTTAAAGAAGTGTGACAGCTGCTTATTCAAATACATCTCAGTTTTCTGTGGACCAGTGAAAATTTTATCACGGACTCATGATTGAGAACCAGTCATTGGTCTGTAAGGTCACTTGTAGCTGTTATATTCTGTGATTCTACAAGTATCTTAGTATAACATTTTACTGCTATTTCCACCACACTTCAAATTCATTAGAACTCTATCACAAGAGTAAATAAGTTGCAACAACTTCAAAGTTAAAGAAAAAGTCATAATTCTCTTTTACATGTCCATTCATTAGCCAGTCCCACACATGTTATATCTGATTGACCAATGACCCTTAAACTGAAATTATCTGGGGGCTCCTCGATAGAGGAGATGGGCATTAAATAAAACCTAGAAGGGCAAGTAGAATTTTGCCAGGCAGTGAGGAGGAGAAAGCTGTTTTGGACAGAGATGAACAAGAATGGGCAGGACTGTCCCCCAGGGAAGTGCTGGGCTTCTGAAGCATTCGGGGCATGCTTTCGGTGGCAGAAAAATGGACAGGCCTGTAGAGATTGGCAGGGGCCATGTCAAATCTGCACCAAGCTCGGCTGTGACTATAGTCACTGATGGGACTTGGAGTTCAAGGCCAAGCCACACAGGCAGACTCACGGTGTACCAAATATTCAGCCAGAACTGTACTAGACTGAACCCCAAGGACACTTGCCTGAGATGTGCTGCCAGAAATCTGTTAGTCTAGCCACACTCTGTCAAGAGTTCTGGGAATTGATACGCAGTATCTAGAGATTGTGGTTGTGCTGAATTGAGAAAAAGGAAGAAACTTTTTCTCTGTGAGATAAGGTGATGGTTTATGATAATATAGCTGGTATTTCAGAGATGACTTTATAAATAAAGAATCCACACCACAACCCTATAAGGGTTCTGTTCCTTTTCTTATTTAATGAATGTGGAAACTGTAGCACAAGGAGTTTAAGTAACTTACTAAGGACCACTCAGTTAAGGAGCGGTGGAAAGCTGGGATTCAAACCTAGGTAGTCTGGTACTGAAATTCAGTCTCTTAACTAGACCTGTACTCTGCAGACCTTACAGTGTGGTTAGATGTCATAAAGGTTCTGGAGTGGAGGGGGAAAGGAAGAAAGGAGAGAGGGAAAAAAGGAAAAGTAAATGAAACTCTGGACTATATCGATATCCAAGATCACCATATAGCCAAGAAGCAGGAAGTAAGCCAGAAAATAAATAAGTAAAGCTTTGGACAATTGTCAGTTCCCGTTTTTTTGGGGTTTTTTTTTTTTGCCACCTTTTATATAGGTGGCCTCACAATTTCTTACCCTGTTTTCCTTCCTGTCTTCTCCTCAATTACATTTCTGCTTTTCTGCAAAGAAAACAGAAAAACAAATTTGTTCAAATTACATTAAAAAAGAGGAAAACAGAAAGGCCACACCTCCACATTTTGTTGCTGTTATACTTACACTTGTTTTTCAACTCCTTGTTTGCCCTTCCTGAAAGCTGTAACCTGAGCTCTTCTTAAGGGAAATGCTGACGTAGATCTTAACTTTGGGGGTGTTTTTTTTTACCTTGGTTACAGATACCCGGTAAATAATTTTTCAGGTGATGGGAAAACCCATTGTGTGAGAAAGTAGCACCTGTAATACTGTAGCCAAGGTAGCTGATAAAAAGGGACCTTCCCCCAGCGTGTG